GATCAAGACTTAATATAAGTTTAAAAATCTTTATTACAAACTTCAAACCGCTGCTCCGTTGCATTTTTTACAATTCTTATTTAATCTATTATCACCTGCTTAATCCATTATCATCTTTCTTCCTATAAAACCCATTATCAATCAATGTTTAGAATTACATTAATATTGCCATAGAAAGAAAACTCCTATTAATTAAGCACAGTTCATGACTGAGTGCTTTTTTGATGATTGTGCTAATATCACGGTTGATTTCTCGTGATTTATTAATCAGCACGGGCAATAATTACTTTGGAATTGATTCAGTACAAAAATATGTGGTGGTAAGGTTAGGTTTTAAAATTGCAGGTTATGCCACCCTCGTGTTCCTACGTCGATGATAACATTTCTAACAATCGAGGTTATCAGGGGTCCCATATTTTGTTATTTTATCACCTGTGTTCCAATATTTTATCGCATGCTTTGAACTGTCGATCCATTTAAGAAAAGGCACGAAGTAGGAAATCTATTTGAGCGGTTCTCATAAGGTGTTCCGTGGGATTCTAGGGTTCCGTTCTAAGGTAAGGTCAAAAGGGGTTCCAAGATCTAGAATTAAAAAAAAAAAAAATCAGTAATGATTTTTAAACTTTATTATATTTATAGCCAATCTAATGTTAAAAAAGTCGAATTAAAAAAATATCCCATTTACATTTCATTTTCAATTCCAATGTCTTTCGATTTTAACTAATTCTTTTATAATCCTATTTAAAAGAGAAATGGCAGCATTTAAAAAATTAATTATTTTTCAATAAAAAAAATATTGAATAAATTACGAAAAACACCTGCATTTATAAAAAAAAACATCAGTATTTCTCAATGGTATCTTTAATACAAAATAAAATAACCAAATTCTAGAGTTTGTAAATTGTATTTCTTTGATAATTATTCTGAGCGTATATACAGTCGAACCTCGCTAACTCGAACCTCGATTTCACGAATTTTTCGATATCTCGAAGAAAAAAAAAATTCCCTTCAAATTTCCTATACACTCGATGTTAAAAAAAACTTGATTTCACGAATTTTTTTTTTTTTTTCTAAATCCTCAATAACTCGAATTTTTTTCCATAAATAGTGTAGATTTTTTTTCTAAAATTAAAAAAATATTCCAAAAAAAAAAAAATTTTAAGAATGGCTGACAAGGCATGGAATGATGTGTCTTCCTCTACGATAATGAATGGCTTCAAGAAGTCTGGATTCATTAAAGATCACGAAAGTAGTCAAACAATCAATATCGTTAATTCTGCTGAAAACTACACCGAAAATGATTGG